TTTTTTTTTTTTTTTTTTTTGTTTTTTGTTTTTTTTTTGATTTTGATTAAAGTGCGGTTTAAGTGTCGTAACTTGCACAACGTACACACCCAGAGAATGCTGTCATACAGCAGCGTTGGAAGCAGCGTACGCAAAACGCCGTAGAAGGCACACCATAGCAATTACACTTTGTAAAACAAACAGGGCGTATGAAACACGACGTCGACGTCACCATGCGGACACACAACTTTGAAAACGCATCGTGTGAGCAGCACTGGGAAACGCAAAGTAGGAACCATGCCGCACAGCGCTTCGAAACCACAAGAAACAGCAGCAACGGACAAACCAACACAGTAAACACCGCGCAAAACCAACACAGTGTAAGTCACAGCGTGGGACACTCCACATAGTATATGCAGACTTGACAACGCATACACCGTTAGCACACCAGCAGCGCAACACACAACGAGCACCATCCACCTCGTACAACACGATGTAGCAATTGCACCGTGGCCGCCCAAACGTTGGAAACGCAGGGTGGGAACCACACTTTGGACACGACGCCGTAGAAACCATGAGGTTGACACCGCAACGTAGAACAGCATCTTGTAATTGAACAATGGACCAAGTAACTGCGCAGCATGGACATCACATCGTAAACACGAGCATTGCGTAGACGCCACCACGTAGAAACCACAGCGTTCAAGCACACGAGGTAGGCAACACAGCGTATTACGCACAACGTAGACACCACAGCGTGCAGACGCAACTTTGGCCATCACAGCGTACACACTGACAACATACTTGCGCAACAAACGCGGAGAAACCACGCATTCCATATAATCACGCCCCATGTAAAACCAACAACAAATACGACGTACAAGCTACGGCGTTTAACACCACATGCGCACAGCGAAGAAACTGCAGCGTACACAACACAACCCGTTATACACTATGCAGAAGTACAATGCAGACGTCTGAGCCGAGGAACCACAGCAGGACGGTGTGGGAACCGCCGCGCAGAATCCGCCAGGTTTGAGAAACACGCATGGGACACCAGGTGTTACAGTCATTGTAGACCAGCGCGGCCAACACAACGTAAGCAACAACACCACATACGCAACCACGCGGAAACGACAGCGGGCAGGCTCGCGAACCACGTACAACGCATGGTAGAAACAACAAGGCGAAACCACACGGCGAACTCGAAGCATGAGCAACGGACACACATCATGGTGCAGAACACATCTCGGGGACACCACGCTGGCGACAAACCAACAGGCACCTGCATGTAACACGCGACGTACAAGCACAGCGCAAAACCCAGCGTGCAGCAGACACCGTAGACAACGCATCGCGCACAGCATCAGATAGGAGGGGCGACACAACAACGAAACATCGGAAACACAGCGCCACCCCCATGGAAGCCGCAACGTCGAAAGCTTAAAATTGAGCGTGCTGTGCTGGATACCCTTCTTCACCGAACAGTGAATTTCCGCAGCGCAGAAAGTCAAAGAGCGACCGTGTATTCCCTTCAATTGAATAGGGGGGATCTGCTCGCCGCCTCCCCCTCTGGTGTGTGTGTGTGGGTGTGTGGAATTTTTGATCCCTCCCCCATCCCTTCTGAAAAGGTGGAGGGTTTTTTTTGCCCCCCCCTCCTTTTGCAACGGAGAGGGGATGGGATTTCGGAACACCTCACCCCCCACCCCTTTGCGCTGGAGAGGGTCGGGGGGTGGCTCTGTGTGGGATTTGGACGTTAGGGTTTAGGGCTTAGTGCTTAGGGCTTAAGGCTTAGAGCTTCGAGCTTAGGACTGATGGCTTAGAGATTATAGCTTAGGACTTCGGGCTTAGAGCTTTGGGCTTGGGGCTTATGGCTTATGGCTTAGAGCTTGGGGCTCAGGGCTTAGGGTTAGAGCTTCGGGCTTAGGGCTTATGTCTGAGGGTTTGGGGTTCAAAGCTCGGGGATAGGCTGTCAGGGCTCAGGGCTTAGGGTTTTGGGCTTAGATCTTATGGCTTTCGGCTTACGGATTTAGGCTTAGGCCCTAGGTCTTAGGGATCAGGGCTCAGGGCTTAAGGCTTCGGGCTTAGGGCGGTAGGGCTCGGGTTCGGGTGTTGGGGTCGGGGTGTTCGGTTGAGGGCGGTAGTGTTCGGGCTTAGGGCGGTAGGGTTTCGGAGTGGGGTTTGGCAAACGAAGTTTCTGGAGCTCCAGCTGGAGCATCTTCCCATCCTGTGCGCGAGAGGTGCGTTCAGGAGGGTTCGATGAGTTTGAGCGATGCGATTCTTGGACCCAATAAGCTTTTCTGGCAATGCGCACGGCGCCATTGTTCGGGCAACTGGGCAAGTCGGATCACATGCGTTTGCGGCGCACCCGTCCCACCAACCGTGCAAAAGGCGGCTAAGGCAGCACACGCGGAGGCGGTGACAAAAGCAGCCGAGAAGGCGTCTGGGCCCATGGTATCATGGGCGCGCCCAAGGTGGACCCCGCGCTGCAGAGGATCCCCAATCGCCTCGAAGGTCTGGA